AAAAAAAAAAAAGAGGTAGAGGGTGTAAATAAACCTAAGTGGAAATTATGCCAAAACCTGTTTTTAAAGATGACAATTCAAAAATAAGATGTAAAGTTTATTTAATAAAAAATTAGGTGATAATTTAATTATTAATTATTAATAATAATATTATAAAATTAAATTAATATATACACCCACCCACCCACTCAACCCATCTATCTCAACCCAATTTCACTTACAAACCTAATTCATTTCTCAACCTATTCCCTCTCTCTATCCACAAACTTCGACACCACTGCAAGAGGATCGACGTTGCTCTCTTGCAGCGGCGTCGACTGTGTGGACCTCTGCCCCTAGGTGCCTCTGCTCGGGAACGCTACAACCGTGAGGACCTCTGCCCCCAAGTGCGTCGCGCAACCTCTGCCTAGTCCAAAAAACACCGTAGTAAGAAATGATGCAGCCGGAATACATCACGTTGCTCACGCGACGTTGTGTCGAAAGAAGAGACGATGCAGTCGGATACGTTATGTTGCAGTTGATTGGATTTCATTTTGGATCAGGTTGTGCAATGAGTTTGTTAACGGTGTTTGTAGTTGGTGGTGGTGATGGGTGATGTAGGCGGTGATGTAGATGTGGTGGTTGAGAACGGCAAAGCTGCTGAGTAATTAGGGTTTTTGTTTCCGATATGCCTTCTTTCTCTTCGACATAGCCGTGTTTTGGTTGTTGTTTTGGCACAGGCGCCGAGTTTTTGTTGTTGTGGTGGTGTTGCGGCGGTGACAGTGGTTTTGTTGGTTGTGCTGGAGGTGATGGTGGTGGTTCTGCTGTAAACGCAGCGTCGCGATGTTGCAATGGTGGTTCTGCTGTGAATTTTTGTTGGCGGTGGTTGTGGTGGTTTTGTGGCGATTGTTGTTGGCGTGCGTGCGGCGGCGGTTGCGATTGGGGTTGGGTGTGTGCGGTGTCGTGACGATGGTCGTGAGTGGGATGAGATGGACGTGGGTGTCTGTGACCAATTATTTGATTGATTTTGACCAATAATTGGTTAATTTTTTACAAATTAATAATGCGTGACATAAAAATTGTGACTATAACTTACATCTTATTAAGTTATAATCGAGTTGTGACCGATAAAAGTAATCTGTGACCTATAATTTGATATTTTGTGACCATAAAATAAGTTGTGTGACTTATAAATTTTGTGATTTGTGACTGATGAACAAATAGTGACTTTTAAATTTTTAATTTGTCACTGATAAACGAACCGTGACCTATAAAATCTTTGAATTGTGATCAAATTGCATAGATCTGTGACCTTTATATACTTATTAATAAAATATATAATTAATTAATTA